GGAGGAGGAGGAGGAGGAGGAGGAGGAGGAGGAGGAGAAGGAGAAGAAGAAGAAGAAGAAGAAGAAGAAGAAGAAGAAGAAGAAGAAGAAGAAGAAGAAGAAGAAGAAGAAGAAGAAGAAGTCAGAAATTGTTGGTCAAAGTACAGACAGGGACAGGGAATGTTGAAATCCCCTTAGGGTAGAGAGCACAGTGTGACAGAAGCAGGTGCTGCACGTAAAGGACCCAACCTTTCCCTCAAGCAAGATGAGAAAGAAAGCCTCAAGCTGAAGTCCCTTCAGCTGAAGTCATTTCCTGCTGGGCCAGGGGTTAGAAGACAAGGAGTGAGAGCAGCCTCTGTGGACACATGAAGCCAAGTCACAGAAAATGAACACCCTGGAAAAGTCAATGGCACCATGAAGCTTCTGGGAGGAGGAGATTGGTGAAAGGCTTGGCACCCATAACCCAGGAAGGAGAGCGCACAGAGGGGAAGGCTTTCTAGACTGAGTGTGTCACAAGGCCACACCTACTACAACAAGGCAACACCTCCTATAATGCCACACCTTATGGGACCCATTTTCTTTCAGAACATCACATTCCTCTCCCTGGCCTCCAAAGGCTCATAGCTATATCATAATGCAAAAATGCTTTCAGTCCAACTTCAAAAGTCTCCATAGTATGTAACAGTCTCAAACTTACTTAAGAGTCTAAAGTTCAAAGTATCTTCTGAGATTCATGTAATCTCTTAACTGTAATCCCTTATAAAATCAAAATCAAACAACAGGTCACATACTTTCAATACATAATGGAACAGGATATGCATTACCCTTCCAAATACAGGCAAGGAAGCATAGTGAGTAAATACTGGACCAAAGCAAGACTGAAAACCACTTGGGAAAACTGCATCTCCATGTCTGATGTCAAAATGCTCTTCAAATCTCCAACTCCATTCAGATTTGTTGACTGCAACACACTTCTTTCTCCTGGGATGGTTCTACTCACTGTTAGCAGCTCTCTTCATCAGGTTTCCCACAACTCTGGCCTCTCCAGTATCTTGGGGTTTCCAAGGCAATCCAGGCTTCACCTTCAAAGCGTCACACAATTCTCTCTCTAGGCGTCCATTCGGGGACATCCTTAACACGTGCCTGGTCTCAATGGCTTTCATTGTTCTCTGGGGCATATCCCCTTTCTTCTATCCTTTACTCTAAAGGCAGAACCACCTGGCTGAATGTGACAAGTTCTGCTGTTTGATGGGGATAAAAACAGCCCCATGTTCAATTACAGCTTCACGAGCTTTCTGTTTTCACCTTTACTCCCTAAGCTTGGCTGAAACTCAATCTGTAGACCAGGTTGGTCTTGAACTCATAGATCTGCCTGCCTCTGCAGTGCTGGTATTAAAGTTATGCACTATCACACCCAGCTCTAAGATTCTTGTTAACTCCTTTTCACAAGTTGGGAACTTAGCTGAACAGGATCTTGCCTTGAGTTCACCATTCAGTTCCTTCTATTTCTTAATCTATCTAGCTCTTTAAACATGGGCTTTAGCTCCATTCCACTTCCTGGTGTTTATTTTCTCTTCAAAAGCAATACTTGGAAGGCATTTAAGGGGCTGGAGAAGTAGCTGAGATTCTTGAAGGAAACAGGAAGTGGTCTGTCTCACTAGGCATGGCTTCAACATATGTGAGACTTCAAAGCCTGCCTCCACAGTGACACACTTCCTCCTACAAGGCCACACCTACCCCAACAAAGCCACACCTCCTAATAATGCCATTCCTTCTGAGGGCTGTTTTTTCAAATGAAAAAACAGAGATGAGTAAGTAAGCTAATAGCCACTGAATATATACTTTAAAGGATGAATCGGTGCCTTAAAAACCAGGGTTTCAGATATAAATGCATCTGTCCCGACACTGGGTTTCTAACCTTTTATCAGCATGGCCAGGTGGACAAAAATCCCCAGGATCTAAGAAACAGTCTCACATGTGAGATCTCATGTTGTCCTCTGCCTTCTCTGGGCACCAGGCATGTACCTGATGCACAGACATACATGCAGGCAAAACATCCAAATACATAAAATATATTACTCTAATTTTAAAAATTAAAGAAGATAGAACACCTAAGATACCAAATTAGAAGAGGTCTATTTTCCTGGGGGCCTGCAAATGCAATGTGTCTTGTATAGGAATGGAGGACATGATGCCCTGTACTAATTTGGCTCAGTGTCTATTTCTGTTATTTTGCAAGGAGGAATCCTCCAATGGAACAGTCTACACCTCCCCATCCACACACAGTTGGCAAAGTCTCTTGAAGCATTTGTCTAATTATTCTTTATTAATAAAACCTCAGGAATCAGATATTGAGGTAAGAACCTGAATGATCAGAAAGTGTCTCTCTTTCCTCAATCCAGAAAAGAATCTTTCTAAATCCCTCCCTTCTATTTCCTGTGTCTCTCTATATGTCCTTGGTTCCCAAAACCTCTTTGGCTAATTTTGTTCAATTAGTAGCTGACTCAAACCTCTGATTCAATGTAAATTTTATTGGAAGTCTCTGGAGTATCAGAGTGCTATGAAAATATCCTACAACAGTCCCTTCTAGAAGTTAGCATCTGAATTCTGTATGTCTACCCTAGGGTAGACTTAACAGGACACCTGGAGCAAACATCTTCACAGCTGAATTCCTGGACTGAACAGAGGTTTGGGATCAACCATGGGACAGCCACTCTGTGCTCTCTGCATCCTATGAACTTACTCCCATGTTACCTGCCCACCAGAGACCTAAGGTTCTCACTAGATTATTCTTTCTCCAGGACCCATGTGTTTCCCAACCCCCAACTGTCCCAACCAAGCAGAGGCCAAACCTGGATGAGGTCAGGTAATTTCCTCCTCCCCTAGCCTGGGGCCCTGATCCTGAAGTCCACACCCTGCAGAGAATAAAGAGGCTTCCTGGACAGGGTAGGCAGCAAAGCAGCACTCTGGGACGTGAAGCCTTGAACACTGTGCTGGGAGACTGTGATATTGGCAGGTGAGGGTGCTCGCTCAGTCCAGGGTTGTGGGGGATGTAGAGGCCACCTTTAGAAGGCCCAAACTGCGTCCAGGAATGGAATCCCAGGACCTTAGAATTAGAAGGGATAGAGGAAAGGTAGTGTCTAGTGGGTCTTTATAGAGGTGAATTCTCTAGAAACCCCAGCTGGGCAGTGGTAGCAATGCTGATCTTATTGCTGGGGTCCTGGAGCTGTATTGATCCATCTCAGTCAGGAATAGCTACAGCAGAACCTCAGTGGCCTTCTCCACTGTCCTCTGTCCTGCTTCCTCTCAGGTCCTACTACATAGCCCATTTGACCACCTCTGCCCTGTACTCAAGAATCTGCAAAATAGTGTCTCTTACTTCTGGGCCCCTTTAGAGCTACAGGCTCCAATCCAATCTGAGCACTGCTCATTTCCCCTCTTAAAATGGTACATGTTGATTGTAACCCCAAAATTTATCCTGAACATGCTTCAAACGCTTAGCATCAGGGTGCCAGACATCTCCTTTTCCTTCAGAGAACTTACATGGTGGGGAGAAAAATCAGTAAGAGAAAGGAGTGCACTTAGGAGTGAAGAAAGAAATGGTTGAGGCAGGAGGATTAGACTAACACAGCAGAGACCCAGAGGTTGAAGGAGAGATGACTGAATAGCTTGAACTCACTAATAGTGATGGGGTAGATGACCTTCTCAGTGGAATAAACACCACTTTGGGGACCCAAATTTAATTTTAAAGGGACATAAGGATAGGCAAGTATGTAGGGGTGGCAAAAAGGTCAGAAGAGAAGACGAGATGGTAAGTCATTGAAACAAAGCCGCCCCAACTTCCCTGAAGAGTTTTGGGGGAATTAGGGGGAGAATAAAATGACCTGAATGCTCTCTCAAGATGCTGTCTTTCTGACTAGGCAGATGGTAGAAGTGTGAGTTGTGATGTTATGAATCTCCCTAGGATATGTGATCTGCATTTTAATACAGTGGAAAGCACTCTGGGACAAGCTTCTAGTGCTCAAGGGTCATGTGACAGGGAGAGCACAGTCATGGGATGTGCAGGGACTCGGATTTTTGTTAGGAAGATAGGAGAAGCCATTTAGTCTGGACCAAGCGGTCCATTTATCCGGGACTGAGGCATGCTCAATAGAGAAGCAAACTTGGTGGAATCAGCTGATCATTGCCCTCTGAGCAGCCACTGCAGGTGATGTTCCCTGCTGCACAGCAGAGATGATGACACCAGATTGTCTTAGGGTCTCATTCAACATCTCAGGGTCTTTCCTGCAGCAACTGTAAACGTGGAGACACTGTCTAGTGCACACCTGGATATCTCAGAGGAGTCTTCACAGGCACACACAGAATGCAGCTTTGTTGAAGTCAGGCTAGAAGACCTAGATACACATAGCTGTTTTTTTTTCTTCCCCTCCTCTTCTCTTCCTCCTCCTCTTTATCTTCAACTTCACCATCTTCAGAGAGAGGAACTGGATTGTATGGGAAGATTCCAGAGTCCACCTCTCTCAGCTGTGTTTTGTGTGTGCCGTCCTGATGATCTGACCTTCTATATATGCAGATGGGACAGATACTAGTTTCGTCTGCTTCCGTGACCACACCTAGATAATAACCTTAAAATTGGAAGGACTGTGAATAAACTTAAATTTGAAATCTTAAGTACTTAGGATTTTTGAAATGAGAACCAAGAGTAGAGTCCCAGGTTTCCTGAGTCAGATTAATGAACCTTCAGCGCTGTGCTGAGTACCATTTCTCCTTTGCCTCCAGACTCTGCATCATGAACACTCTGTCTGAAGCAAACGGCACCTTTGCCATCCACCTTTTAAAGATCCTTTGTCAAAACAACCCTTCGAAAAATGTTTGTTATTCTCCTGTGAGCATCTCCTCTGCTCTAGCTATGGTCCTCTTGGGGGCAAAGGGAGACACCGCAGTCCAGATATCTCAGGTAAGTTCCCTGTCACCTGACACCTGTTTTACTTGCCTAAGAGTTGCTGAGAGGGGAGGGTCAGAATACCACACTCTGTTTCATGAGGAAGGAAGAGAATCTCCTCCAGTAATACTTCTTTAAGGCAATGATTTTTCATGAGTAATCTTTTGGAGAGATCCCAAAATTTTATCCAGATTTCACTTAGAAAATGCTTCATGAATAGATTCATGCTAGGTCGTGAGTCACACATGATAAATTCAAACTTCTAAAAGGACTGAGACAAGGTTACATGCACAACTTAGTTCCAAATGAGGTTTGTTTTTTTTTGTGTAATCCATGGAAGGAGGGTGTTGCAATTACAACTCAGTTGTAGGACTCCTGGAGAATGTTTAAGGCCTTTTGTTTAGTCCCAAGTACTTCATAGAAAAAAAATGACAAAAATATTTGAAACACAGATTTCTTAGATCTAGTTCATTTTTAGAGCAATAGAGTTTGTAATTATTTATTGGAAAGGAAGGCTAATACCTGCTTTTTAATTGTTTTGTTATAAATATTACTTATATCAGAACTTTATGTACATCACTGCCTTCACCATCTCTTTAGCTTGCAAATTCTTTTTACAACCAAAATGCTTCATTACTGATGTCATACTATTTCATTGTTTTCATTCACAGACACTTGGTTTAAACACAGAAGAAGACATTCATCGGGGCTTCCAGTGGCTTCTAAGAAACCTGAACAAGCCAGAAAAAAAATACTTGCTTAGAATGGCCAATAGGATCTTTGCAGACAACACTTGTGAATTACCCCCAGTAAGTTGAATCAGTAGAATGATATCAATTGCTTTGAAAATATTTGTTGCTATAGAGAAGGATCCCAGAGATCTTGAGGAAATTAAGGGTAAACTTTGAGCCAGGGCGATTGTACAAATCTAGAAGACCTACATTTAGAAGACTGAGACAAGAAAGACACGAGCTCTAGGACAGCATAGTCTCCATAGTGAGACTCGACTCCCTAAGCTTGGACCAAGACCAAAATTCTATAACGATACTTTGAAATATTTTAAATCTAATTTTGTGTAATGTTTATTTATTCAGGCCTGGCTATTCTCACTTACAAAGGCCTAGTACAAAAAGATGCTTGTTCTTTAAAGTGATATCTGCACTCATTTTAGTTTTGTTCTTTGATGTCTTTGTATTCAGAAGGTCAGGATCCCTGCAGACACTTTATTTGCCCATGTTACCTTTCTGAACGTTTTTCTCTCCAAAGACCTACAAGGAGTCCTGTCTTCAGTTCTACCACTCGGAGCTGGAGCAGCTGTCCTTTGCCAAAGATCCAGAGGAGTCCAGGAAGCACATAAACACGTGGGTCTCCAAACAGACTGAAGGTCAGAATTTCAAGTTATTTCACACCCCACATTCTTATCCTTACCATCCACCCCTCCCTCTTCTTCCTTCCCTCCTCTTTCTTTTTAGCTTCCCTTCTCCCCCTGCCCCATGGACTAGATGGTATTTCAGGAAATCAAAGGGATTCAGACTAACATTATTATATGTGGTATAATTCAGACCTCAGTGAATTCATGGAGGTGTTACTCAGACACTTAGTTTTGAACAAATAGAGTTATTTGTGTATTTCTTCAGGACAGAGGAGCTGATACAAATCTCATCAGAATTCATGGGCCTGATTTCCAGTCGAGCAACTTACATTGTAAGACAAGGGTGGTCTGTAGTGTTGACAACTCATATGACTCTACTATGGAGATCTTCCTCATAAGTCTTCCATGGGCTCCTTCTTCCTACAGTCTCTATGGCACTGTCCCCCACCACCATTATGTCTAAAGAAGATTCCTGTTTCTGATTCCACCTTTCCTGCCTCAGATCCCTCACTTACATGTGGTGAAACCAGCCTTGATTTCCATTGAAAATACTCTATCAGGGCTGTTCAGCTACATTGACCTAAAAGAACCTTTCATTTGGGTTGGACCATTTTTGTTTTTATTTCAAGGATAATATGTTTGAGAATTGGTCTCAGAGATCTTTGACACCGTTGTCTGATAAGTAAACCAAACAGCTCTACACCAATAAGTACATTCCTATTCGTGGTAACAGAGTGACAATAATAATGAGAATCTTTTCTTAAAGACCCCGCAATTATTTCCCCATTTTTTGTTAGAATCTTACCTCTTCTACACTTTTAATATTATAAATGAGCAGGATTCTCTTGACCATTGATGGGATCTCCCTTAATGGAGAAGAAGGGAATCTGTTCTCTTGCCTGTGTTGTTTCTTTCAGCGATGGAGAGTGTAGAATAGTAATAGCTATTCAACAAACTACTTTTTGCCTTTGAGTCTCTGACATGTTGTGCTACACTAGAATTGGGCATGGCCATAGTATTGTAGATAAGACCCTGTATCTAACATTAGTGTATTACTCTGTGATCTCTAGAGGAACAGAATGAATATATAATACAGATGGGATTTAAAAGATTGGCATACAAAATACAGGCTGAGTAATCCCACAATGACCAACTGCATGTGGAGAATTAGGGAATCTGAGAGCTATTCCATTGTCTCTAAGTATGGAGACCTTATCAGACTAATGCTGGCATGGAAAACATAGAATATTCTAGAAAGCCACTGGTTTTTGTCCACATGAAAGCCAAAATTACTGAGTTCCAGGGTCAGCTAAAACTGGCAGGCATAGGGCACAAAGAGCATAGATGCACTCATTAGCAAGAGCTGAAGGCAGGCAGGCAAAAGCAGTGCTGCTTCTCCCTCAGTCCTTTAGTCAGGGCAGCACAGGAAGACATTGCCCACTCTGGGGAGCATCTTCCCCCTTAGTCACTTTCCTGGGAAAGGTCTCCACAGGACTGCCCAGAGACATGTCTCTTAGTTGATTCAGACTGTCAAGATAGTAACAACCATAGCATCCAAGGTTAAATATTAGTCCCCAGTGACCCCTTCCACATTTCCTGCTTCTTTGTTCTCCATCCTGGAGTCACTTTTTCTGCTTTTCCCAAACCTGCTCTCCTTGAGAGACTTGGAAGTCCTTCAGCATCCTCACCTGAGGATGGTCATTCAGTGCACATGATCTCCAATCATACATGGATGTTGGCATCTTGTTTTATTTTATTTTTAACAAAATTCAGTAAATTTGGAACTGTGATTCTTAAATCTGCCCAGATGTCATATCAACTTATTTCTCACACGTGTACAAAATGAACCTGAATGAAGTCTCTTTTTTCTCAAAAGGGAAAATCCCAGAGTTGCTGTCAGGAGGCTCAGTTGATTCAGAGACCAGGTTGGTTCTTGTCAATGCTTTATACTTCAATGGAAAGTGGCATCAACCATTTGAAAACACATGCACAAGGGAAATGCCCTTTAAAATAAACCAGGTAAGGAACAATACACAAAGTTCATGCCAAAGTGACAAAGAACTTGCATGGAAATATGGAATGGTGAATGTGTAGGGGCTCAGTAGCAGAGATCCAATGTCCTGTGGATTGCTGGACTTGATCCTCAGCCTAGAAAGAAAGAGAATAGGAAAGCACAGAAAACCAGTAGAAACTAATATTTCTGAATGAAAGGTTAAAATGTAGACAAATGATTGGAATATAGAGCATTAACTGCCTATATTATTTTTCATCTTTTTGGTGGCAATTACTGCTTTTGAAAACTTATGTGACCTCAGCTTCTAGCTCATTCTAACCTAAATTCTCCTTATGTTCAAGAATGCCAAAATGTAACTGCTTACATTATATAATATATATGAAGCATGATGCAAGGGAGAAAGGAATATACAAACATTACTATGGTAAAGTATTTTATAATTACATTAAACATTTTAAACTATTGGTCAATTTATCATTACTAAACAGTATTTACAGGTCTCTGTAAACAATGAAACAGGAGTGACTCAATTTCCGTGATTTCAGTTTTAATTGCAGTATATTTAATTGCAGTTTGGAATAGTTTGCTCAATCTTTAAACAAATAAAATTTAATGAATTTTGCAATGTTAAACTGTCCATTCCCTTTTTTATTAGGAGTACTTAAAAGTCTTTTAAACCACAGCTTCTTTTATTTGGAAATCTATATAATTAATATAGATGTTCTCTAATAATTTTTTAATGTTTAATATACCATTTAAAGATTCGACAAGAGCTTTCTGCCTGTGATGGGTTATCAGAATATAATTGCATCGCAAAGCTATGTGGAGATCTGTTCAGAGGGTCTCCAACTTGTAGTAATTTAATTGTTTCACTCTGGTTGGCTATCAGGATGTAGCTCCAACCTATGCCTGTCAGTGTCTGTGCTCTGGAACTTTCTAATCTGTGATGAGTTAGAAGGTTGTGAAATATAGTAAATCTTTGAACATGTGTGCTCCTGTTAACAGCCTGTTTTCTGAGAGGATGTATCTGTCTGCAGTATCATTTACACCGCTATGAAAATATCCTAGTTTAATTTATGAAAACTTTTCTCTTATCTATAATTGATTATGCTGCTTCCTTAGGTATAATGACTGATAATCATAAATGGTGAAAATCCTATTTCTGGTGTGTTGATAGCAATCTTTCGTTTACAGTAAAAAGCTATCTGAGATAATCAGCTTAAATTAGGAAGTACTGAATGTAGCTCATGGTTCCAGAAATTTTGGTCTGTTGGTCCAATCACTTAGGGTTTTGGTGGTACAGTAAAACATGCATTGAAAATGCATGGTGGTGTTTGGTCACCTCACAGCAGTCAGGAAGGAAAAGAAAGAGGGGTGCATTGCCAAAATCCTCTTCGGGGGCAGCCCCTCTCCAAAACCTAACTTTTCTCTATTAGGCCCTAACTCCTATGGGTTTTGTCCAGATCCCAATAGGTGTAAACCTGTGGACAATGGCTTTGAAACATGAGACTTGGTGGAACATTATAGGCCCAACTATGACTTTAAAATATTAATAACTGAATGACACATTTCTCCTGCTGGTAACGCATGATGTTTCCTAAGGAAATCCCTGCTAGGTTGCTGTTTTGTTGACTGGAGACAAACCAGAGCCATTTGAGAAGACTGACACTACATGGAAAACTGCCTCCATAAGATTGGCCTGGAGACAAGTCTATGGAACACTATTCCTAATTAATAATTGGTGTGGATCCATCCCACTGTGGGTAGTGCCAACTCTTGGCAGGAGGTCGTGAGTTGTGTATGAAAGCTGGCTGAGAAATCGATAGGGCACAAGCCAATAAGTAGCACTCCTCCGTGGCTTCTGCCTGAGTACCTGCTCTGAATTCCCTCAGGGATGGAATGTGCCCTGAGAGTTGTAAGATGAAAAACCCCCTTTCTACCCATGCTGTTTTGGTCAAGGCCTTTTACCACCGCGTAGAATCCTATCTACTACAGTTCCATATCTGCTTACAACAACTATTTTGTAATGCAAGCAGGAAGAGACTGGTAGACGTTAACTAAGTGTTTACTGGACCATGATTAGGGTTGTCATTGTGAGTGATGAGAACACTGCTGGCATTAACTTCAGCTCATTTGGAAACCTTCTGACCTCTCTCATTAATGTGTTTTATGTCCTGGGTTCATCTGTTCAGAGTGAGGAAAGACTAGTGCAGATGATGTATCGGGAAGACACATTTAACCACGCCTACGTGAATGAAGTACAGGCACAGGTGCTGGTGATGCCCTACGAGGGCCTGGAGCTGAGCTTTGTGGTCCTGCTCCCGGATGATGGTGTGGACCTCAGCCAGGTGAGGCAGGAGAGGTTGTATTATTCGACACTCTAAATGTCTTCTAGAAGAGTCCAGTGTCTGTTCTCATTAGACGATAATTAATTCTTTTCATCTTGGCAACTTCATGGAGAGTTGAACTAACAGACTGAGCTTAGAATTGTGTCCAGGCACAAGGTTTTGGGACCAAAGTATGTTCAAGATTTCCACTGCAGGTTGTGTGACTTTGCCATATATTATAATTTCATCACAAGAATACGATGTGATGATCATTACCTGATAGAATGAAATGAGGGGAACTCAGGCAGCAAACTTAGCATAGTGCTTGGAAAATAACACCCCTCTGTAAAGAGAACTTTATCATGATCCTTGTTATTATTTTATTTTAATATACTAGAACATAAAATATACAGAAAAAATATTGCACTTTAACCCAACAAAGAGGAAGAGGAAGAGCGACATCTGCAGATAGAAGAGTCAGGCAAATCATTATGAGACTTCTTGGTCTTTCTTGCAGCTGGATGCACCACTATATGTCAGACAGACTCTGAATGGAGGGCAGTGCAGTGTGAAAGATCTAAGGGGTCTTTGTAATCAGAACAGATTCCCTGGCTCTTCTTATCCAGCTCCCTAACAGCGGCATGGCATATGTAGTGTTAGTTTTTCATCACTGATAAAATGCCTAACAAAAATAACATAGGAGGGGAAGGATTTATCTAGACACACAGATTCAGAGAGCTCATTTCAAATTACCTGTCTGCATCTTACGGTCCCATTGAGGCAGGTGCATTTGGCAGACATTACAGGCCTTTTAGTAATCAGGAAGCAGAAAAATAAGAAGGGACAAAGAACCAAGGACATCCTTCAAAGGTAACCTCCAAGAACTGCTTCCTTCATTCTTCTTTTTTAAAATTTATTTATTAAAGATTTCTGTCTCTTCCCCACTGCTGCCTCCCATTTCCCTCCCTCTAGACCCCCCATGCCTAAAAAAAGGTACAAAGAGCTGCAGAGCAAGCATTTACTATGAGAGTCTTTTGAAAAATTTCACATTTAAGTCACACAACTCACAAAACACTATCTAACCAGGAATAGACCTCCCTTCCAGTGGGTTGAGGAGAAGATGGCCAGGTCTTCCTACCTCTCAGGCTATGGCCTCCGTACCCATCAGGGAAGCCACATACTAGCAGGACAGTGGGACACTCATGCTGTCTGGCCACGTGAAGAGACAGTGCCCCATGTGGGATGATGGCACATTCTGTGAGCAGGAAGTGATTATGAAACTCTGGGTAAGACCTCAACTGTGAATCTGACAGTCTCTAAATCTGATTTTTCAGGTGGAAAGCAATCTTACCTTTGAGAAGTTAACAGCCTGGACCAAACCAGACTATATGAAGAGAATTTATATAAAGGTTTTCCTTCCAAAATTTAAATTGGAAGAGGATTATAAAATGGAGTCTGTATTTCAGCACTTGAGAATGATGGATGTCTTCCAAGGAAGCAAGGCTGATTCATCAGCAATGTCTCCAGAAAAAGACCTATGTCTGTCCAAGTTTGTTCACAAGAGTGTTGTGGAGGTCAATGAAGAAGGCACCGAGGCTGCAGCAGCCTCGGCCATCATAAGTTTTAACTGTGCGTGTATACGTGCCTTAACATTCCGTGCAGACCGCCCCTTCCTGTTCTTCATCAGGCACAATGAAACCAATAGCCTCCTGTTCTGTGGCAGGTTCTCCTCTCCATAGGCACAATTACCATGTCAGGAACAGTTCTCAATTCAGCATCTTGAGAACTCCTGTAACGCTGTGAAGACGGGCATATGGCAGAACCATGTTCCAAGGTGAGGGCACATTTCTCCTGGCACTCTGATCTTCAGATGTCCTCATTCATTTCCCCCTTTCCTGACCTTATCTATGGCATTTGCCGGGTCTCAGGGCCACAGAGTGCTTTGGTTCCCTGTTACGTATAACAACAAAAGAGGCAAACAATTCCACAAGGTAACCACAAAGTTCGCTAAGGGGACCTTAATAAGCACCCCTCACACTGCACTGACAAATCATGCCAACTATATATTCTGTGCTTTCCTGGCTCCTCAACTCTTGCCATCACTTGTCTTAATCTGTACACATGAGAATAGACACTTCTGTGGATGATGACTCCTATTGCAGTTTTCCAAGTGATTGGTCCTTAATGCACACTTTAATATTACTTTTCTTTGCTGTCCACCAGTCACCAGGTGTGTGCCCACCACTGTGCTAGTCTTGGGGGCAGATGCAGACAGTGTGGTCCTCCTCCAACAGCTGGACTTCACTACTTTTTCTCAAATTATCTCTCTGCCATGACAGCTACCTCGAACTACTATATTTCCTCTTTGCTGAAATCATGATTCTTTAAACTATTATTTTTCTCCACAAGCAACTATAATAGTCGGATTCTATGACAACCTTAATGACCATTTCAAAATCAATTTTGTTTTCTCACCAAACATGTATGCTGCTGAATAAATAACAGCGTGAAGTCTGAGTTTGCATTTGCTTTAATTGAAAATATCAACCTTGGTTGAGGAGGCAGAGTCAGCAACCAGCTGATAGAATGTAATCGTAGAGAGTCAGAGGGCGTCTGGAAGACAGATGGAGAGAAGCACAGGTGGTAGGGAGGGACTTTGAGCATGGCAGTTATTTGTTTGTTTGTTGTTTTTTGGTTTGATGGAGCAGAAGGAAGACACTGGCAAGGAGGAATGATCAGCAAGATGCTCTTTAATCTTTGACTTAGCAGGTTTCACCCAGCCTCTGACTCCTGGGTTTTATTAATACATAGAACAATTGATGCTTATTTAAAACTACATCTATTGACAGAGGTAGGAGGCAGATCTGGTAGGATGTAAAAGTCCTGCTAGGCTGCTACTAGAGAAGCACGTCAATAACTATGGAATCGCAATTATTGGCTGAGACTGCAGTAGATACAGAGCAAACCCCCCACCACCCAGCACAGGACTGAATCTGCCACCTCCATGTGTCATGGTGACTTTGATAGCCAAGTCTCAAAATCCTGTATCTCTGAGGGTTGTGCTCACTTGTTTCAGAAGAGCAGGGATTTGAATGTCTTTTGGGTAAAGATAATGTTAAAATATTGTTTTGTGCTATCCTGCGACATCGAAACGCTTGCTCCAGAGTTGGAAATTGACTGTCCTGTTAGCTGATCCACCTTAGTCTATGGCAGGAGATAAAAAAGCAAGACAGAACAGCTTTAAAAAGACAGAATATTAGCTTCACTTAACTGCCTGTAACTTTTGCTAAGATATAAACCTTATCTCAGACTTATGCAACTATTGTATGAATTTTCTATACCCCAAGATTTAAAAGCTTCTTTAAAGTGGTTAAAAATCTGTAGAATCTGTAATAAAAATTGACTGAAAACTTACAACACAGAGTTAATGATTAAATATTTATACACAGGTAACCTTACCATTCAGCAATAGACAGCACCACCATCGTAAATGAAAACAAAACACCCAATCAATCAAAGTCTACAGTCTGGGACAGTCTCTGAATACAAAACCCTTGCTTTTCAACCTCTGTAGTTCTGCTTCTGGCTGTTTGTTGATTGAAAACTGCCTATCTGAAACACGTGTTTTATGCATAAAGCTCACCCTGAGAACACCTCAACAGAGAATCACTCAGAATGTATTTCTAGCAGCTGGGAGGCAGTGGCTCATGCCATTAATCCCACGTGTGGGAGGCAGAGGCAGGTGGATTTTTGTGTTCAAGGCCAGCCTGGTCTACAGAGCAAGTTCCAGAACAACCAGAGCTATAAAGAGAAATCCTGTCCCAAAAAAAGAAAAAGAAAAAAGAGGATATGTCTAGTCTCCCTGTCTGCGAATTTTGTTAAACATTATCTATTTTTATAAATTGAGTCATAGAAAAAAAACAGTGATTTTTCTGGAAAGTGCCCTAGGAAAGGACCAAGAAAATTAAATCCCCAGTTTCCCCCATGGACTGTACTTATAATTTATACTAAAAGAGCTATAATCAAGAATTATAATATTTATAGGCTAAATTAACAGCTACAAAACTGTAAAATCCTAATCTACAAATTACTAAATTGTTATAAACACTTGAAGATAATTAAGACACACAGATTGATAGTCCCTTTATAAAGGATAAGATTCTAGGAAACATAAAAGTGAGTGAGGCAACCCAGAAAGACAAATATCATATGTACTCACTCAAAAGTGGCTTTTAGACATAAAGCAAAGAAAACCAGGCTACAAATCACCCTCCCAGAGAACTTAGAAAACAATGAAAACCCTAATCTACTTGGGAATGAGGATATAATCTACATGGGAAGTAGAAAAAGACAAGATCTTCAGAGTAAACTGGAAGCATGGGGACCATGGGAAAGGGTTGAATGGGAGGGGAGAGACAGGGAGGGGAGCAGAAAAAATGTATGACTCCATAAAACAAATAAATAAACAATCAGATTCTTTAATATGTTCAGAACAAAACTTGTTCTCGTGCTAAGTACTATATATATATATATATATATTTTACAAAATGAACTTTATTTAGTCTCCTGTATAAATTTTCAAGGTTAAGGCTAAAACAAGTAACTAATACAACTAAAGTTTATTTAAAATCAGGCATACTTAAAAGATGGCCCTCAAAAATTATCAGAGATCTGCTGAATATGGCATTGGATATTTAACATTCTCTAACATTGTACAACGTTTGATTCTTTTAACACAATCTGTTTCCTACCAAGTCTCACAAGATCTCATCATGTTTCAGTCTATTTGGAGGCTACTTTTCTGCACTGCCCCCACTTTGAGAAGAGCTGCTGGGTGTACGAGGCTGTAGGAATGTACAGCAGTGACAACTAGTATTTAACAGGTAAACCCACTTGGGGAGCCCCACTTGCCAAAGCCATAGGGTTAGTGACTATAAATGACTCGTGGTTTTCTGTCCATACCTTTCTCTGGTGCCCATATCATACCTCCCTAATAAGAGCAACTCTGGGGTTCTTTCCATAAGCATTTGGTGCTCTGTTCTACACTTACTGGGCAGACACATATCTATGGATAGTCAGGAAGTTGACTTCTGCACAATTGTATAATTCTGATGAATAGATATACTCCTATGATACTTTACATTACTCACACTGGCAAAGGATTCTCAGTCACAAAGACAGCCCTTTACACAGAGTTTAGATTCCAGAAGAAATTCAAGGCAGGCTAATTGCCCCTGGAGATAAATAACCAGTTACCCAAGGAAGCAAACAGAACAGTCGAAGGTCTCAGGCTGCAATCCATAGTTAAATATTCTGTTGATAGGACAAAAAAAAAGTCATACTCACACCCTAGACCAAAACATTCTGTAGGCAAACCACTTCCTGGGTGGAATCTAATTTTATCTCCTTAAAGAACCTGGAACCTTAGTTGGATCCTTAGACTTTTGTTTGAGGTAGAAAGGTATCTACTTCTCCATTTCTGAAATACAAGGGCTAGATATTAGCCACACCTGTTGACAATAACCTTGAGAGAGCAGAACTCTCTGTTCTGAATCCAGGTGGGACCTTTTATTGAGGTGGAAACACAATAACCTTGAAGGAATAGAAGTAAGTTCCAACTCTTGACTTTTGGTCAAGGTGGAAATAGGCTCACATTTTTAGACCTCCACACTTTTCCAGAAAATGGCTATCAAAGCTCAATTTGATATTGAACTATTGAAGTCCAGCAGTCAAAAGTCCCATTTGTCTCTCCTAATTAACATGCCCAATTAAAATTAAATACCTCATCCTAGCATGGAGTTTCCTCTTTTACCTGTATAAAGTGCCATTTTGCTATGTGCTATGACTGCTTCCTCTCCATCCAGAGGTAGTCCTTTATCCCCGTCCTGGAACAAATACCCTTGCCCCCTTTCCCATGTTCCATGCCCCTTCTACCTCACCTGCTACCTTTTGTCTTTCTCTTTTATTCCCTACCCTCCGTCCCTCTGTCCCTCTGGGGGACAAATAAATCTCCTTTGCAGTGAGAACTTGATCTTTGGGGTCCTGAGTGGATTTTTTCTAACAATTATGCTATGACAAATATATTGGCCTATAGGATCCCTCCCTTGGCCCAGTTCTTGCACATTCAGACCTTAAGGTGCCAGCCTTCTCCATTTAACAGTGGCTAATTGGTGAGTTTTCCCCTAAACGCCCTAAGTTCCTACAGCTGATGAGCACATTCTGTTCAGTTCATTGTAGCCGGCAAGCTTTCCTTTCTTTCGGTGAGTACACTGCTGGAATCTGGTGAACAATTCCTAACCATCCCAAAGCTCTGTTGACAGATCCAAGATTCTTCTATACACCCACTGGGCTCTGCCTCTTGGTGATGGAGCCTGGGTGACAACCTCTGTCCTTCCTTCCAGATATCTCTGTTCTTTGCTTCTTCAGAGAAATGAGAATGCTCTGTCTCTTGACTTTGGCTCACCAGTCTCCACTGGAAATAGGAAGGCTTTATTCACTCAAGAAACTCATAGTAATGGTGCACTTTAGCACCCAGCAATAACTTTGGTGCCTGAATGTGTCTCTGCTTTCTTTTCTGTCTGCTCCAAGACCTCTGTGTGACCCCTTCACACTCTGAACTATTACAAATAATGTAAAATTTCATCTCCTATTTAACCCTTTGAAGGCTACAGGAATACTGACTGCCAGGAACTCTGTGCATGCCAGCTGCTACACTGCCTGTGCTGCCGTGTCTTTCCCCATCCCAACTACATATAGCCCATGGTGCTGAGGAGCCCACCTGAACCAGAGTCTCAGCCAAGCCCCTACTGCTACTACTGCTACAGTACCCATTGTCCACAGGTGCCCCCACTTTCCTTTCTGTTGAAATAGGAGCAGCAGGGCTGCGTCCCCGGCACCTGGCCGCCCACATGGCTAGTTTATACCCAGAAATAATTACACGGAAACTGTATTCTTTCAAACACTGCCTGGCCCGGCTAGGTCCAGTTTCTTATTGGCTCTTACATATTGTTCTAACCCATTTCTAATATTCTGTGTAGCCCATGAGTTGGCTTACCAGAGAGGATCTTAACCTGCGTCTGTCTGGAGTGGGAGAATCATGGCGACCCACTCTCAGCTTCTTTTTCCCAGCATTCTCTTCTGTCTACTCCGCCTACCTAATTTTCTGTCCTATGAGGGCTGAGGCAGTTTCTTTATTAATAAGAAATCACTCCCACATCATTTTCCCTTTTTCTGTTTAAACAAAAAAGAAAGGCTTTAACTTTAACATAGTAAAATTACATATAACAAAACAGTTATCAAGTAAGAATTACAGTTACAATATTTATATCTATTTTATCTCTTATCATAACTAAGGAAAACTATAACTAACCATTCTTCAACTCCAGCAAAGACTCCAGAAGGATATAATATTACCTATCAAACAAGAAATAAGAAAACTCTAGAAATGACAGAGACATCT